GTGGGGGGGGAGGAGGGAGGAGATGTGATTTCCACCACAGTTTTACAAACATGTTGTCAACTGTGAGGAACCAGAACCAGAGGAGGAACAGGTTCTCCAGGTTCTTCACCACACCTGACTCGTTAGGTCAGAGGTCAGTGGAGGTCAGCTGGAGGTCAGACGACCGACCATTTGCTTTGACGTTCCCTCTGTTTGTTCCACCTTCTTGGATGGATGTAAAGAAGTCGTGGAGAACCGGAGGAACAGATGTTCTTCAGGTCTGTGGAGAGAAGAAGAAGAAAAGTCCACCAGTGTGTGTGTGTGTGTGTGTGTGTGTGTGTGTGTGAATGCATTTTTTTTAAATATGTATTTTTATTTTATTATATGTATTTTTTTTTATAAAAACTGAGTTTCTACTGAAAATAAATAAATAAAAATATTTTCTTTTTCATTTAACAAAACGTGAATGGTTTTATTTATTTTAGACAGGATCCAGGTCAGCAGGGGGCGCCACCACCTAATTAAATGAAAATGAAAGCATATTTAACCTGTACTTTTTCTAATATAAACTCCTGTGTATTCTCCTGTGAACGAACCCTCAGCTCCGAATGCCGTCCTTTAGCGCCCTCTGCTGGATAAAACACTTCACCACATCAAAGCTGGTGGAGCCAGAGAAAACCAACCAGAGTTTTCTTCTAAATTCTCACCTGAGTCTCAGTCTCTCCGCTCCACTGCCTTCACCTCCTCCTCCTCTCACTGAATAATCATCGAGGTAAAATATAGAAACAAACAAAAATAAATTGGAATGATTTTAAATCCCAAAGGAAACTTTATTTTCAACATTCAACAGAAAAAACACATTAAAACAAATCAGTTCCTTTTAAAGTGACAGTGTGTGAATAAAGAGAGTTGATTGGTTGATGAATGTTGATCAGCACCTTCAGCTTCAGCCTGTCAATCAAATTCACTCTCATCACTACTGTCCTCGTCCAGGTCCTGTGGCTCAACATAAGGCTTCACAGCTCCTTCCTTGGACAGGCGGTCGGCCTCCTCGTTCCCCGTGTAGCCAGCGTGACCTGGGACGTACATCTGTAGGAGGAGGAGCAGGAGGAGGAGACACACACACACACACACACACACACACAGGTGAGTGACTTCCTCAGGAACACCTGTCTAACACTACAGAATCAATCATACTTCATAGATCCCCTGGTGGAAGTTGTTGGTATTACAGCTGCTCCTACCATGAACTGATGCTAATTCAATCTTGTTCATTATTATTAACAACAGTACCAACCACCACCAGACGTGGGCGCTGTCAGGCTGAAGTAGTCTGTGTGTTTCTTTCCCACTAGTCTAACATGTGTTTGTGAGGTCAGCAGGTGTGAGGTCAGCAGGTCATTTACCCAGACCACCTGCAGCTCAGAGTTCAGTCTCTCCAGCTTCACAAACTGGTCTTTGTTGACCACGTCTCCTCCAGACTTCAGCTTCCAGCCGTTCACCTTCCAGTTCTTCACCCACTTGGTCACACCTGCAGGGGGAGAGGGGGGGAGGGGGGGGGTGGTGCACTGTGAACCTCACACACACACACACCAGTGAATGTGTGAAGGACAGGAAGAGGAAGTCCAGTCTGACCGTTGATGGTGAACATGCTGTCAGTGTAGAGAACCAACTTCTTCAGCTGCATCTGTCTGGCCTGTTTCAGAGCCGTGTACGCTGCCTGACACACACACACACACACACACACTTTTTTCTTTACTCTAATTTGAAAAGAAAAAGAAATAAAATATAGAAGTGATTCTTCAGATGCTGAACCACTGGACCTGTAGCTCTGCTCTCTGATTGGTCTGCCGTCCCAGGAGGCGCTCTGACACGTTCCTGTGAAGAGAGACAGACAACACTGACTGTTCCGACTGTACTGACTGTACTGACTGTTCCGACTGTACTGCCTGTACTGAGTATTCTGACTGTTCCGACTGTTCTGACTGTCCTGCCTGTACTGACTATTCTGACTGTTCCGACTGTTCTGACTGTACTGAGTATTCCGACTGTACTGACTGTCCTGACTGTTCCGACTGTCCTGCCTGTCCTGACTGTTCCGACTGTTCCGACTGTCCTGCCTGTACTGACTGTTCCGACTGTCCTGACTGTTCCGACTGTTGCGACTGTTCTCCAGGTTCACCCTCTGGGTTCTCCTCACCGAGGGTGATTGTGGCCCCAGTACACTCCGATGCCGGCTTTGGCTCCACTTTTCCCATTGCCTGTGCAGCAGCCATCGGTGTAGACCACCACAGCGTCCCCTGGAGTGGAGGGCAGGTATGACACATGGTCAGTTAACACACACACACTCACACACACACACAGCTGGGGTCCTTACCCATGTATGTGAACCCGTCACTGCTGCTTCCTGCAGATGAACCTGTGGACTGTTTGATTCGTTTGCTGGTGTTGGGCTCCTCCTCCTGCTGCTCCTGCTGCTCCTGCTCTGAGTGGAGTCTCTTCTTACCCAGAGGGATGTACTCCAGAGGCTCTGGACCTCTTTTAGGAAGACAGACGGTGGACACTGAGCTCTGGGCTGTCGGAGAGAAAACAAACTCATCTGACTGTGAAGCAGGGAAAGAAGATGAATCTTTTAGCTGCTGCGAGCCCTGTTTACAGGCCTTACATCAAGAGTTAGCTTGAGGCTACCTTTAGGGTAACATTCTTTTCTTGGCTATTTTTGGATGACTTCCTGTTATTATTTCTTGTGGTCCTAGCTTACAAAGATATTTTAGGAAGATGTTTGTCTCATTTCTTAACTTTCTGTGCCCAGGTTTTTCTAAATGAACTAAACAGAAGAATTCAAACTGCTGTTATTTCCCTTTGAGGCTCAGCGTCAGACCTGGGGAGGGAACCTGACGTACCTGTCTTCACTGCAGGAGGGGCAGAAAATTCAACCCCTCTGACAAAGGCCCAGGCTTCTTTCTCTGATGCAAACTTTTTATAAGAGGCAGACTGAAACTTGTCCACCTGGGTTTTACATTCATCCCTAAAAAGGCACAAAGGGGAAATAAAGCAGATTATTGAACTAGGATTTTAATTCAAATACGACGCCACCTTCTGTGAGTTTGACTTTAATAAAATCAACATCAACACAATCATACATCTCTCCAAATGTGCAGTTTGTTATTACAGACCATGTCATTTGTGAAGACAACGTCAGTTTTCTTCTAAGGATTTTTACATGATATAAAGGTTGACAAAGTCTCACCATGACTTGTACACTCCGGGTTTGACACCTTTTCTTACTGCGTAGAAAAACTTGCCCTTCACCATGTCGTCAGCGGCGGCGCTACAGAGGCTTCTGTGAACTGCTCTGAAAATGCCGTTCAGTCTAAACATATCACCGAGACCCGGAAGTTGCTAACATTCTGATGCTAACTCACGCTACAAATAAATAACACCATTTAAACTGATGAGACTGTACCCGTTCGCTACAACAATGGTAAATACAGTAGTAGGCTAACAACACTTAGCTTCCCGCGCTATCTAACGAGTCTGTGTTTAAATTAAAGCGGTTGTTTGTTTTAAATCATCAGTTTCAGCTAAACCGAATATTTAGATAAACTCTGGCTTTTGTAACTGCAAAAGGACAGAGGAAAAACAAGAGTTGATAACTCGCGGTACCGAGCTACATGCTACTCAAGAAACTCTCTCGATAATGCTTTGTTGCGTTCAGGATTGGTTGTTAAAATGTGTTGTATGTTTTATAAATAAAGACAAATAATGTAGTATGGGTTCTGTTAATATCTCGTTACATGGACAATATCTTCAGCCTATCAGATCAAATCAATTTAAGAAAATGTGCAGACACGCGGCGGCTAAACGTTAATTCTACTTAAATAATAAATGAAAGGATGAGCAGGATAACAACGCTACTATATTCACGTTTTCTAAGCTAATTTTCGCCTGTAAATCTTCGCTTGATATTCAACGCATGCGAGACTCATAACCGAAATAAAACGCGACCCCAGTATGATAACACATACGGTAACTGTGTGGCGTACTCAAATAGTTTACCTCATAATAGGTCTGTGAACGCATCACTAACCGCGTTGCATTTAGGGAGTTCTCGCGATGATCCGGTCTCTTCCTTGGCCGTCACTGACAGAGGTTAGTCGTGCTGTTTTGTCCTGAATCGATGTTTTCTTTTATATATGTTGTCCTAATTTATAAAATTAAGATTTTCTCATGTCCTATGACCTTTTAAATGCTGATGCGTTAGATTATGTATTTTGCGGTGATGGATGGCCATTTAATAAAATTATATTAAGCATAGGAAAGGTGCCTTGGTTGAATAGGTTTTAGCTAGTTTTTAGCAGGCCGTACATGCGTTAAGACAGTGAGCTGAAAGTAACACGCGAGAAACTACATCCTCGAAGAAGACTAGTTGTCGCAAATATTATTTGCTACCAGCAGTGTGCATTTTAAAGGCAATTTGTAGCGTTTGAATTAGGCAATATGGCGTAAAGCTAAGCTAAAATAGTCAACTACTTTGTAGCATAGCATGGCTAACCCGAAGTTTGTTACCCTGTGGAATACTTTAACAATTTTAACGTGGTTTAAGATTTATTCTGCACTGACACTGAATATTTTCTATTAATTGCTAGCGTTAATAATTTGATTTCCCACAGACTGTATAGAGCCCTAACATTAGCACGTTTCGACGCGCTAAGGCTAGGCTGCTAACATCACTCCAGGAGTCACATCACTTGACAGTTACTCAGTGTTTCCTTTTTTTATGTTTATCTCTGCAGAGACAAAGGCCATGTTTAGTACCAGCGCCAAAATAGTGAAGCCGAATGGCGAAAAGCCAGACGAGTTCGAGTCAGGGATCTCCCAGGTAAGAAGACCCTGTAGAGTCTGAAATGTAAATTTATGACTATCAGAAGAGGTCACTTAAAGTTTTTTGACAATGATTTTGTTTGACTTCATTACTTACTTATTACACTGAACAGTTAGAAATCCAAACGTCCTTTTCTTGTCCTCTTTCAGGCTCTGCTTGAGCTGGAGATGAACTCTGACCTGAAGGCTCAGCTCAGGGAGCTGAACATCACTGCAGCAAAGGTAGGACTTTTGAAGTATCACTAGTTTAATGTCAGTCTGACGTGGACATCCAGAGGGTTCTTCTCTCTGGCTCTGTCCTGGTGGCGTACGGGAGCGTAGCTCTGGGCTCAGACGTACAATCCCCTTCCACGACGTCGGAGAACAAGCTCCGTCCCCGGCCATAGAGGCTGGTGAGGACGGGCGTCCTGCATATTCCTACACCTTCCCAGAGTCCTTTGGGGCAGTGACTGGGGAGTTAAACCATGCAGTGCACAAACAGATTTGTCTTGAAAAACCCTTGAACAAAGGGTTCGTTTTGAAGAATCATCAATGTTGGTTTCCTTGAGATAGATGTTCTGGTTTTCCCTTTTTTGTTTCCAGGAAATCGAGGTTGGTGGCAGCAGGAAAGCCATCATCATCTTTGTCCCCGTTCCTCAGCTCAAGTCCTTCCAGAAGATTCAGGTTCGTCTGGTTCGAGAGCTGGAGAAGAAGTTCAGCGGAAAGCTTAGGGTCTTCATCGCACAGGTGAGGAGGAGGAGGAGGAGAACGGTGGTGCTGAAGTGAACCTTCTCCCTTGACAATGCAGACAAATCTGGGCCAAGACTCTTCTGTGTAGCTGTGACCTTTAAAGATGTTGATCTTACCCAGAATGCATCGCTCAGTAGACTGTGTTTGAAGCTGACGTGGACATCCAGAGGGTTCTTCTCTCTGGCTCTGTCCTGGTGGCGTACGGGAGCGTAGCTCTGGGCTCAGACGTACAATCCCCTTCCACGACGTCGGAGAACAAGCTCCGTCCCCGGCCATAGAGGCTGGGGGGGAGGGGGGGCCTGCATATTCCTACACCTTCCCAGAGTCCTTTGGGGCAGTGATTGGGGAGTCAAACCATGCAGTGCACAGTATATTTGTAGAAATGAGATGAATAGAATTTGATGGTGTGGTGTTTTTCTCTGATATCTTTAAACAGTGGATGTGGTTCAACCATCTGATGATGAAGTTTGGTCTTCGTTGAAAAGAAATTTTTAAAACTGGAGTTTAATTTCTTTTTTCATTCTTCAGAGGAGGATTCTGCCCAAACCCACCAGGAAAAGTCGTACAAAGAACAAGCAGAAGCGTCCCAGGAGGTGAGTCGGACTCGGGTCTGGTTCAAGGCTGGTTCTGCTGATGGACATGGTCTCTGTCAGCTAGTACTTCACAGCAGTGGAGATGACCCTGGTCAGTCTGTCTTTGTCAGTGTCCCCTACAGTCAATCACTTGTCTGTCCTGTTAGTAACTAAATGTTTGGTCCTCCCTGCGTGGACCTCAGTCAGTCTGACGTGGACATCCAGAGGGTTCTTCTCTCTGGCTCTGTCCTGGTGGCGTACGGGAGCGTAGCTCTGGGCTCAGACGTACAGTCCCCTTCCACGACGTCGGAGAACAAGCTCCGTCCCCGGCCGTAGAGGCTGGTGAGGACGAGCGTCCTGCATATTCCTACGCCTTCCCAGAGTCCTTTGGGGCAGTGACTGGGGAGTCAAACCATGCAGTGCACAGTATTGTAATCATAATCTGAGATTAAACTTTGACTGATTTCTGTTTTTGGGGTCAACTTGTGTTTGTACTGTTGAGTGAAATGTCTGACATTTAGAGGAAGAACTCAAAACAGAACCATTAAAAAAACATGTTTGTGAGGTCAGGTGATCTTTAATTTACTTTGAGGAGGAACATCATTAAATTAGAGGTTAAAGGTCATGTGGACAGGAAGCTCTTGTGTAATGAAAATGTCCTGGACCTGACCCTGGGTTCTAACACATCCTCTCTGCCCTCGTCCCTCAGCCGTACGCTGACTGCGGTCCACGACGCCATCCTGGAGGACCTGGTGTTTCCCAGTGAGATCGTGGGCAAGAGGATCAGAGTGAAGCTGGACAGCAGCCGGCTCATCAAGGTCCACCTGGACAAGGCACAACAGAACAACGTGGAACACAAAGTGAGTGGATGAGAGCAGCGGTACCGGTCCTGTGGTTCTGACGTGGACATCCAGAGGGTTCTTCTCTCTGGCTCTGTCCTGGTGGCGTACGGGAGCGTAGCTCTGGGCTCAGACGTACAATCCCCTTCCACGACGTCGGAGAACAAGCTCCGTCCCCGGCCGTAGAGGCTGGTGAGGACGGGCGTCCTGCATATTCCTACACCTTCCCAGAGTCCTTTGGGGCAGTGACTGGGGAGTCAAACCATGCAGTGCACAAGGTTCCTGTAGAAAGTCTCTTTGGACCAGAATAGTTCTAGTCCCATCTTGATGGTTCATTTCTGTTGTTTTAGTGATGGTGACGTTTGTTATATTTAATACTGACTTTAACTTAAAGACCATTTCTTTACAATGACCAGTCTGAAAGAGATACTTTTATACTAATCAGCTGATCGATGCTGTGACCTCTGAAGCTGACCTCGATTATTTCCCTCTTCTAGGTGGAAACGTTCTCCGGTGTCTACAAGAAGCTCACAGGCAAAGATGTTGTGTTTGAATTCCCAGAATTCCAGCTGTAAGTGGAGGTGACAAAATAAATTTGTTTACTGTCATCAGGTCTGTCTTTTGTTTGACTGTCTGTACAAAAAGTCTCTGGTTCAGACTGTGGGTCTGAAAGTTGATTAAAAGTGACTGAGGAGGAGGAGGGTAGTTTACAGCTGCACCACGTGACCTTTCATTCGTTCTTTAATACTGCCACCTATCGTTCTAAACCCATACTGTAGTTGATCAACCCACCTGTAATAAACAGCGCTCTCATGACTGCTCTGCAGTGCCCCCTGCTGTGCGGTTGTGCTGTCCGATGGCCTTCATCAGGATGAGGTTGTTGAGTTTCCACTCTCTATAGAGCAGGGCCGTGAGGTCAGGGCAGGTCAGGATCTGCTCCATCAGCATCAGCTCCGCCTCTTTTGCCTGGTGATGTAATAAAGGTTTAAAATAAGAATCAGGACCTTGGTTGTGTAAAAGGTCAACCTTAGGACTGACCTTTAACGTGCTCCTGAGGATCCTGAGCAGATGGACTTTGTCGTTGACCCTGTCGTCTTTACTTCGTCGGATGAATGAAGTTCTGAAGTCTTTTGTGTTGGACAGTCCCATTGGGGTCAAGTGTGCTGCCTTCAGGTGACGGCACAGTTGTTTCATCTCATCCCATGGTTTTCCTGGAGAGAAGTTCAAGGTTAAGAAGAAGAAGAGGAGGTTTGTGGTCTGAGCTAAAATCACTGATTTTCTCTATGGACTTTGGAACATGGAGTGATTTAAAAATGTCTTGGTTTCCTCTGACGACCCAAAATCAAACCGAGCAGAACTCTGTGATGATCTCGTCCAGATAAGAGAACCAGGTGTTTACCATCAGCAGCTTCACCGTTTCCTCCACTGTGGGTCAGAGAATCTTCAGTTTCTTCCTCCAACACGTCCAGCTTCTTGGTGGGATCTTCTGGTAAAGGTGATCCACTGGTGCTGAAGGTCTTGCCCCCTGGGGCATCTGTGCTGGGGCTAACGGAGGTGGCAGGGCAGGATGGAGCCTCACAGACAGACTAGGACCAACCAAAAGTGTTTTTGATATTTGTTACGTCATGAACTCCACAGATGACCATCAGTGAGCGTTAGAACGTTCTTGATGGAGACTAACGTTTTCAGCACTGTTGGAGTCCTGAGAACAGATGGTGGCGCTGTCGTCACTGTCCTGGTTGCTGTCTTCACTGTAACACTCTGAGCACAAAACAAAAACATTAGTGGTGCTAAACTTTCAGACAGTTCTGAGCTAACATTTGATATGATCTCTCGGCCAAATAAAAATACACCGCGAACCAGATTTGGCCCCCAGGCCTGAGTTTGACATGATCTTTTAGCTAATGCTAACCTTTAACTCCCTAACCCTAACCTTCAGTGTGTGTGACGTCACCTGACCCAGCAGCTCTGGACAGTTCACTGATCCACCTGGAAACACACACACACACACACAAATACAGACAAATACCATGACATTTTCCAGTCAAAGGAAACTCCTCTTAGAAATGTTAAATATTTAAAATACATTTTAAAAATTACAAAATATTATTTTTTAATTAAGAAAATGTAAATTGTAAAGTTGTAAATGTAATTTGTGACAGTACAGAAACAAAGGAAACGGCAGCAACCTGTTCATGTTAGAGGAAGTGTTTGCAGCAATGACAACGGTGACCACCAGGGGGTGTGTTGCTGTGAAGACACTGAAATGAAAAACAGCACTTTTCTATCACTTTTCTCTTTTAAAAGAATGTTGACTCTTTGAATCGGTTCACATCTGGTTCCACTGCATAAACGGTACCGTCAGCAGACGAGGGGGCGGAGCCTGCAGAACACAGCTTCCTGATTGGTGAAGCTGTCTGCATTTGATTTGACTCAAAAAAAACTTTTAAAGAATTTTGTTTGTGAATGTTGGATCTTTTTGAAGTGGCCACCAGGGGGCGCAGGAACCGTTTGGTGGAGTTTTTATTTGAAGGATTGTTCTGCAGTGGAACCTCAGACAGACTGATGAAGGAGAACCCTGAGGTTCCCTGAAGGTCCTACTGTTTCCTCCAGCTCTGTCTGGACTCCTGGATCCTGAACCCTGACAGGTTTATGAAACCTTCAGCCGTCTCTGCCTGGAGCAGGAGGAGGAGAAGAAGAAGAAGAAGAAGAAGTGAGTCGACAGCACGGTGACGCCAGCAGAAGCGTCAGGTTCCTATGTGAAGACTGTGGTCACAGTCACATCAAAGTGTTGACTAACATTTCTGTAAAAAACTATTTCATTAAATAAACGATCTAATAATGAATTAAAGATTCACTGATAAAAGGAAATAAAATTCAAATAAAATTCAGAAACGTCACTTCATGGACGTTCAGCCGTCATTTATCCTGGACCCTGGTGGGTACACGTACTCCCTCTTGAGAACCACTGCTGTTCTGTAAGCGATCTGTAAGCTGACCTGAGACTCCGACCTATCCGGGTCCTACCTTGACCTGGTTGACCCAGGGACTCACCATCTGGTCCTTGTACCAGTACAGACTGGTGTTCTTCAGGACAAACCAGTATCTCTTCCACCTGCCCCCCAGGAAACCTCGTCCCTCCTTCCTGCGGTGGAGCCAGCCGTGAAGGTCGACCACACCCAGGTCTCTGACCGAGACACGCCGCCGACTCATGACCTCTGTGACCTTCAGGCAATACAAAGTCAGACACAGACAGGCGTCAGCTTCAGGTCAGTCGTTGGGGAGTCAGTATGAACAGTCACCAACAGTCAGACCACAACAGTCGGAGAACATCCTTCCTGTGTCACATGATCTTCACCAGACGGCTGCTCTGCTCGTTCTCTGTTCCTCTGTGAAAAACAGACCTTTGTCACTTAGTAGAAATAAAGGTTTGATTCAGTCAGACAAAAAAAAAAGAAGAATACATCTGTGGGTTTTTTTTTACTCAAGAAATTGAGAATTTGTCAGAGAAAAAAATGAGAGACATTAAAACACCTCAGATCATCAGTATATAGTATATACATACAGTATATATATATATATATATATATATATATACACACATAAAAGGGATGCTGAAAGATCACCGAAACAACACGAGGTGGGGGGGTGGGGGTGGGGGGGTCCACTCCAGTCTGTTAGCACACGTTTGACTCTGATCTACTCTGATCCTCTGATCTTCATCACCACTGGACTTGATCCACGCTACAAACATCAATGATCAATCAAATGATCTGCTGCGATGGACACAGAGCAGTGTTCCAGATGAGGGGCGGGGGCCCTGGTTGTCTGATATGTTCTGTGAGGTCCTATATATCTATATCTATATCTATATCTATCTATCTATCTATCTATCTATCTATCTATCTATCTATCTATCTATCTATCTATCTATATATATATATATATATATATATATACACACATATACATATATATACACACATATATACACACATATACACACACAGTATATAACAAGTCTCGACCTAAAGGTCATCTGAATGATGTCGCCCTCTGCTGACTGAGAGGAGCACTTGTCATCTGTGTTTGACCACTAGACCAAGGTCCACTACATTTAGTCACGAATGATCCAGAATAAATAAAAGCCAGATGTGACACTTATCAGTACCACATCCATTAACCAAAAAACACGATATTAATCTATGACTTTTGTGGGAAAAAATCCCCAAAAACAAAATGTACGGAGGAACGGAGTAAAGTCTCGGGCTGTTTATTTGATTATGACGAAAATCATAGTCACGATTCTTTTGGATTCATATAAAATCACAACTATTCAAAACTATTGCTGATTGGTTAGAAAAGTTGCTATTATTAAACTTTATTGTACGTTAAACTGACGTCATATCAAATCGAAACAGTGTGCTCTTCTGTTCACTGTATTTTCCTGGCTGCCTTGAACGCACCATGACGTTCCGCCTGACCATATTCAGACACCTTTAAGACGATGCTACAGTTGTAGGTTCCATTTCTACGTCTACCTAAAGACACGGGGTCGTCAAACAAAAACATACTCACTCATTTGTCAATGTCTGACGTCACGTCTTTCCATAAAAACCTTGAAGTCACGTGTTGTCATGATTCCACTGTGTCCTCCTGATCATTCCCACGTGTGTTCCTGAGTTCGTGCCAAGTACTCACTCAGACATGTTCTCCAGGAGCATGCGCAATTGGGTGATTTTCCTCACGGAAGAAAACCGCTTCAAAATTGATTAATGTACAACTTTTTAAAAGTTTTCTTATCACGTGTCCGTACCTGCCACACGGGGAACACACGTGTACGCGAATATCGTTAAATTCAAGTACATTAGTCCATTTGTCGAAATGACGTCAGTTTTCACCAACATGGCGTCTCAGTTTACCGCCGAACGGTTAAAGACACCGATGTTTTTAAATTAGAAGTGAAAACACGCGCTGTCATAAGTGAAGTGCACTCTAGAAGTTTATGTATAAAACATTTGCTGTATTAACAGTTAACATTAATAAAATCCGAATCATATTCATGAAAAACACTTTCTTCTCTCAGGTGGACTGATTTTATGGGCAGGGAAAAGCGATTGCGTATTCCAATGGGGTTTGTGCGCATGCGTAGTAGACAAAGCCTACAAATCGAAAAATACAAATCTGACAGAACACCGTGTTCCACGTCGCGGTAATGACGTCACTGTGGCTACATGAGCTAGCTAGGATATAACAACAGGTTATACGACATTTCTAGATGATATTGACGCTTTCTTTTAACAAAATAAAATAAATTAAAGATGTGGATTTGTTCAGGCAGGAGTCGCCAGGAGTAATCCAGTAGGTGACGCTGTTGTCCTTCAATCAGAGGGTTGTATGTTCGATTTCTGACCATTTCCATTCGCCAGTCGGGTTTTAAACCAAATAATATATAAAACGGAAGAAAGTAAAAACACTTTTTTACTTTTATGTTTTTATTGAATTAAAATTGTCGCAGAAAAAACAAGCTGCAGAAAAATGATAAAATAAACATTTTAAAATGATAAACTTTTTTAAAACAAAGTTCACAAAAACACTTTTCGGAGGAAAAACTTTGTTAAATGTAACAAGTTTGAACAAACGTGTAACTTTAGCTCAGCAGCAATCTCTGTGGCCATAAGAGGCAATTACAGCATAATGGAACACTGGATTTCCCA